GCCAGCAGAGAAACTTACTCCCTACAGAAGTGGAAAGCTGGTCTTGTTCCAGTGGAGATGATACTATTATCATGTTTATCACTTGCACAAAGTGTAGGTTGATTTGAGATAAATAACACCTATTATAAATAACATGGATCCTATTTTTCAAATTAATGGGTGTAATTTGGCACAAATAACCGATATGCCCAAATCTGAATACTGCTGGAGTTGCAGTGGGATAGATTTTGTCATTTGGGAGTTGTAGATGCTGGCATTTCACCTACAAACAAAGGGCATTCTGAACTCCGCCAATGATGCAATTGAACCAAACTTGGCACACAGAACTCCCATAACCAACAATAAATACTGGAAGGGTTTGGTAGGCATTGACCTTGAGGTTTTGGAGTTGTAGTTCACCTACATGCAGGGAGCACTGTGGACGCAAACAATGATGGATCTGGACCAAACTTGGCATGAACACTCAATATGCCCAAATTTGAACACAGGTGAAATTTGGGGAAAATAGACCTTGACATTTCCGACTTGCAGTTGGTGGAATTTCTACTCCTCCTCCTTTTAAAAAATAATCTTTATTGCACATTTTCATAATACAGAGATAAAAAAATAATATCGTGTATATAGAAAAAACTAATGCTGGGATTTCTGCTGCTCCTCTCCCTCTTGATGCTGCTGAGCCACTCCCAGTCCCATGTTGCAGGGGCATTTCCCCCCTTGCCTTCAACGGATTCAGTTACACCCCTGTGCCGGCAAGCTTGAAGACTGACAGGTTGCAGGTTCACATCCGGGGAGAGTGTGTATGAGCTCCCTCTGTCAGCTCCTTATGCGGAGACATAAGAGACGCCTCCCACAAGCTTGGTAAAACATCAAAACATCTGGACGTCCCCTGGGCAACATCCTTGCAGACGGCCAATTCTCTCACACCAGAAGCAACTTGCAGTTTCTCAAGTTACTCCTGACATGAAAAAAAATGGATTCACAGGTGTAAGCCTTCGTCCGTCCTTCCATCCTTGCTTTGGCTCCCCTGCCTGTGCATGTGCACCACGCCGCCATACACCGAGCATGTCTTCCCTCCCACCAAGAAGATCAGCAAAGGCTCCGATCCCTCTCCCTCCGCGGGAGTCGACTGCACACCATGCAGCTGTGGACAAGCCTACGTTTCAGGCTTGTGCCATTTTATATTTTGTGTTAATTTTTAGCATTTTGTTTGATGTTGGTGTCTGTTGTATGTTGCCTTACTGTACTTTTTGGGCTTGACCTCATGTTAGCTGCCCTGAGTCCCATTATTATCATTATCATTATTATTACTATTATTACTATTATTATTATTACTATTATTATTAGAAACACCACAAGATGAGTCCACAGCAGACACTCTGCTGGCTGTTGTATTGCATCCCACATCGGAACACTTCCCAAGTGCCTAGGACTGTGTGATGTATCGGCAAATAATGCATGCAGATCCCAGTCAGGTGGCCTTCTGCAGCTGGCAGGTGGTGATTTTGTCAGCGCCGATTGTGTTTGAGTGCAGGCCAAGGTCTTGAGGCACTGCGCCCAGTGTGCCCATCACCACTGGGACCCCTTGACTGGCTTGTGCCAGAGTCTTTGCAGTTCTATTTTCAAATCCTTCTATCGTGTCAGCTTTTCCGGTTGTTTCTCTGCCATCCCGCTGTTTCCTGGGATTGCGACATCCACAATCCATACTTTGTTTTTTAATACGATTGTGGGGTCAGGAGTATTATGCTCCAAAACTCTGTCTGTCTGAAT